TGGATAAGTTACTTTAAAAACTTAATTAATTACTAATTACATCATCAATATTGTATTTAAATTACTCTGTCTGAAAAGTAACTTAATTACTCAATAAGTAACTCAATTATTCGAATCGTTAATTACTTCATAAAATCCCTATAAACCTTGATGTATAGAAATGAAACTCTTGATTCTTTCAGTTTGAGTTAAACATGGAATAGTTTAAACAACTGTAATACTTAAGCATTTTAATAAAAATGTAACCTTTAGTTAACAAATAGAATTACTCTGCAAAATATCCAAATAACAACAAAGCTTAAGAAAAGTAACGTTTTAATTAACTTTTATAAATGTGCCAGAAGAGAACATTACTGGTGCATCTTGAGATAAAACAATGGAACTGACATATTTTAAGGTATGTCAGTGCATGTTTCTTTCAGTTAAAACAGCTCAGAAATGTATTTTAGTCTGGGACTAGACTTCAGCCTTGTCTGTGGAACCAGGGGTACATGTATCAAGCTGTAAGCATTCAACTTTTCAAAGAAATTAGTATTGTATACACACTGACATAGGCCTGTATACAACATTAGTAGTCACTAATACTAATTTTGTCCACTCCTAACAAAAAAACAATATAATTTTGTACTGTCATATAGGTGTGTCAGACAGTGCAAGTTTCTTTCAGTTAAAACAGCTCAGAAATGTATTTTAGTCTGGGACTAGACTTCAGCCTTGTCTGTGGAACCAGGGGTACATGTATCAAGCTGTAAGCATTCAACTTTTCAAAGAAATTAGTATTGTATACACACTGACATAGGCCTGTATACAACATTAGTAGTCACTAATACTAATTTTGTCCACTCCTAACAAAAAAACAATATAATTTTGTACTGTCATTCATGCACATATGCTTTGTCTGTATTAACACACAGTTCATAAACAACATTCTGATATTTTATAAAGTCAATTCTTACTGCTTAGCACACTATAAACATTGACATCTGATAGTAGATCAACACTGATCTAAGCAGACTGTAACATTCACCATGATTGTTGAACAACATTCACATTACTTTATATCTATATTGTATTGTATCTCATATTTTTATTATATGATAACAAAATATTTACATCCTCGTTTCGTACGACATCTAGCCTATATGTATAAGTTGCTTATATACTGCAGGAGCCAGCAGCCGCGGGGGACGTGGGGTACATGTCCCCCGCACTTTTAGAAAAAGGTTATTCTGTCCCCTGCAATTTGTTTTTACCCACCGCCGATATTTCCACCCGTGTTCTCTGATTTGTTTATTTAAATTTGAGTGAACCAACATTCAGCCAATAAGAAGGCGAATCATCTCTTGGGCGCGTCTGTCATGAGCTTCAAATCTCCTGTTGCTCTTGTGATAGGACTGTTCGATTCCGGAATTTTTGGAATCGATTCCCATTCCTGTTTCTGGAATCGAAAGAATCGATTCCTCGCCGTTTTGTCGATTTTTTTTTTCCACACTAACCAACAAGATACTAACACTGTGTCTACACTGGAGGCGACCATTGTCGCCTTATGTCATAATAGCCAGAAGCTATTCACACTGTAGACCAGTGGTCGGCAACAGGCGGCCCGCGGGTCAAAACTGGCCCGCCAGCAATAATATCTGGCCCGCGCCTGTAGCCGGATTATTTTGATAGCAGCTGATTCTGAAATAGACCTGTCATGACAGCAACAGTTACTCACAATAAGCGGAGCGGTGTGATTTTGACTGGAGCGAGGAGCAGATTTTTTAAAAGTTGGAGCGTGGTTTTCACTCTCTCCAAGAGCGCTCCACCACCGCTCCATCACGAGTACAATTCATGCCAACAGCCCGTAATATAACTGCATATTTAACAAGAATTCACATGCTAAACATATTTAGCTAGCTTGATAGAGAAGGATCACTCAAATCAGAAAGAATGTGAAGCAATGGCCATGAGCGGGAAGTTATAGTTCTCAATGAATTTGTTTCCTTCTAGATACTGAATATTTTCGATCTGTAGGTAAAATAACTGACGAACACTTACTGTTATTTTCATCACAAACAAAATTTGCACCGCAAAAAGCAGCAATATTATACCTTTTAATGCTGACAACCGTGTTATTAGCTTGTCATGTGGTAGGAAAAAAGTTTGAACACTAGTGTTCTAATAAGCCACTTTGAAACTCTACTGTTATTTTATTTATTTTACTTTTAAATGTATGTTATGAACAGAACTGTGATATTTCATACATACTGAAATACTTTAGCCGAAGAGCGGTGTTTCTGCGAGGAGTGGAGCAGGAGATGGTGAAACCGGAGCGGAGTGATTATTAAATGCTCGGAGCGCGGTGGGGAAATTGTTGACGTTCCACTCCGCACACATACTCTGCTGGACTCCACCAGACAAATGTGGCTTTTTGTTAATGACTGTCCTCCTACAGGATTTAACACAGAGTAACAGCTCACTACCAGTTACAAAAGACACTGTAACAGTCTGTCACAGGCAATTCTAGTTGCATTTTTCATCAATTAATTTCTTAAATTATCCTTTGACTATGTTCTGGACCGCCATCTAGTGGCAAAAATGTTTTTGGCCCGATGCCAAACTTACTTGCCAACCCCTGCTGTAGATCTTACTTCCTATCAGAAATATCACGAGCTTTTAGTGTATGTAATAAATACAACGAGGCATCATTTTCTTTCGAGGATTTGTCACATCGCACTGCCTGCATCCAGTGTAGACACGAGCTACGTTTCACTATATTTTTTTTCCCCTCGCTAACTCTAAATGGTTTAGCTCCAACCCTGATCAAACACACCAGCTAACTTAGATCTTCAGGAGCACTTGATATTTACAGATGTGCTTTTACGGGTGTGCTGGAACTAAAATGAATATACACATGCTGTTTAGATGATATTTAAGTTATACATTACACACACATAATAAAAATAAATGATTAAATACATACATACATAAATTAAATAAATAAATAAATAAAAATGCTGTTCAGCTCAGTGGTCATGACCATACACTTTGATTGATTAAATTCAGTATTTATTTAAAGGAATACATTTTCAGTACAATCCTCAGTTTGTAACAAATATAATGTAACAAAAACAAGAAATGTAACAAAACAATCAGTGTGAGGTACATATTTCATCCAGTATCATAAAACTGTACAGTTTTGAACATACTAAATTGAACAAACTCCTGTTAAATTTTAAAAGCCTTGTGCGCATGAACAAACTCACTTTACACATATACACTTTGTATTAAAAACAACTCACAGAGCAGGGTACAAATCGATCCCACATCACATAGGCCTAGACCAGGGATGGGCAACTTCGATAGTGACGAGGGCCAGCATTTTTTCTCCTTTATACCAAGGGGCCAGATTACTAATCCACGTCCACACACCTTTTACACCGTCTTACTCAATTTCCTTTTTATTGAAGCAAATTCAAATATAATTAATGTAATTTGTTTTTAAAGATTTTATTAACTATTGCAGTTAAGCTAATTCAGAAGGGAAACTTTGTTATATTGTTATGTTATATTACCAACAAGCCAATGTAAACATCTCAATTGCATTGTCTGTAAATTTGCAACAAACAAATGTACAGAGGCCCTATTTTTTATTAGTGGCCTACAGAACATTCTCAAAACAGCATAAGAGGACAGTTAAAAAGGGCTCATTCAAAAAAAATAAAAATACAATTATTCCAAAGAGTACCATAAAATAACTGGGTATCTGCAGGATTTTTAAAATAAAATTTAAGAGCTTTAAAGACCTTTTAAGACCTGCACTTCACATTTCAACCTTTAAAAATGTTTTAAGAAAAGGGATAAGTCAAAAGTTTCAATTATTATATTAACTGAAACAGTCATTATCAATCAATTATTATATTAAAAAACATATAAATATATCTTAGTGTCTTAATTATTATTATTATTATTATTATTATTAAATTATTATTATTAATTGTTTAGTTTTTATAATGCATTAGCTTTTTGTCGATCCACTGGTTCACATTTAAAAATATGTAGCAAAAATAGCAGAAGGGCTTATTGAAAAAGCAAATTTGTTCTCTGCCAGCAGGTTTCACTTTCAGAACAGCAGAAATATAGCAGTTCCCCCGGTAACGGCAGTACAAAAAAGCAGCGCAGCTCTTGACTTTGAAACGTGCAGCACTCATATCTATTCAGTGAAATCACAGCCTTTTGAAGTTTAATCGTCATATTAATCTATATAGCAATTCTTGTCTTTCCGTCTGCAAATGTAAGACCTATTATAATTAAGACTTTCTGTATCATTTAAGAGTTTTCATGGCCTTAAATTTAAATGATTTAACAGAAGACTTTTTAAGGACCCGCGGAAACCCTAAGAACATAGTTTAATGCAAACATTTCTGTCATGCATTTGGCAAAAAGCTTTTGTTGATGATGCATTTTACCTTTGAAATTTGAGGCAAGTGCAACTCTGGCGTCCCCGTTGTTTGTGCACAGTGATGTGATGGCGATTTAAATAAAAAATCCAAACATATGGCTATCCCCTTGAAATTGTAAAAAAAGATCATATATTTACCATCTTGACTGGAAAATACTGTTTTCATGGTCAGTTTTTCATTAATTATTTGCTAATGTTAGTGAATGTTTAAATCAGAGGGCACGTCCTACTGCCCTGAAATTAACATGGGGAGCGGCTGGAAACTAGCGACCTCTCCTGGTTGGAGTTAGTATTAACATTATAAACTGAAAGCAATCTTTACGTGACTTACTTTTCAAATGTTTTAAAATTGATCATCTGAGTCTAATATGATCCAGCGGGCCGTACTAAAAGACATTGCGGGCCGTATACGTATATGTAAGAACATCATATATTTCACCTGAGAGCTCTTCAGGCAAGAGAGTCTTTTTGAGATAAGCTCACCAGATTTTGAAAATACACGCTCGCTTGGCACAGATGTTGGCATTATGGCCAAGTATTTATTTTTTTTTGTCAGAGTCTGTTTGGGAACTTTTGTCCTTGTTCATGCCAGAAGTGCAATGCTGAACACATTCTGTTGACATTTGGCTGGGAGAGGTGCATTTTCACTTCAGTTACGATATCCATGTTGTTGTTTTTTGCTGTCTCACCTGTAAGAGAGAGCGACACAGACATACAGAGAGTGAGAGACAGATATTGAGAATAGTGGTCACAGTAAAAGACACTGACAGTCTCAGTCTCCAATGTGTTTGTTTGTTTTTTTAAAGGAGTGAAAGAAACAAAGTCTGGCCTACTAGATCCCTCAAACTGGAATGGAGAAAAAAAAAAACTTTCAACCATTTTCTTATTAATTCTTACAGCATTTCCAGGAATCTGGTGTGTAAATCTAACCTTCACATCAAAATCAGACCACACACAACTAGCCCTGGTTTGTTGATGTGTGAGTGGTGCAACTGAAGTTGTTGCCCCTGGGTGGCATTCTACAGCATTCAGTTGGCTGGCCTCGGATGTCAAAGCTCAAACAGCCATCTCTGCATTTGTCTCCATGCCAAAGGCTACTTTTTTAAACCGAGGATCCAGCAGCATTGATACTGCAAGAAATCTAAAAGTTGTACATGTGGCAATAATAATTAAACAAACTGAGTTATAAATTAATTATATACTGAGATATATTCTGAGATTAATCTATACAAACCTTGTTGATTCGTAGTCTCCACACCTTTTGGTCAGATGCTTGTTCAAAGTGCTTGGTAGCCTCTGACCAACAGACTCTGGTGCATAACTGTTGGCCATACTTGTTGTCAGCTTCTGCAGGTTGCGTACTAAAATAATTAACTTAGAGGATGTGACATGACTTTCGGCAGACATCTCCTCGGTCACTTCCAGGAATGGTTTCAAGACCTATACAAAAACAATTGATAAAACAAACTTTAAAATTAAGGTCAAATAAAGATTATATGGTAAACAAACCCCATAACCCTTATGCAAAGAACATTATATATATTTTCTTATATACAGTATGAATGATTAATAGCCTATATTAAATGATTTAACGGTATATTGAAGATATATAGAATTATGTGTTGTGTGTAATGTGGGGTTTTTGGGGTTTGTTTCATGTTCATGTTTTCATGTCTTTAATTTTGGAGTTTAGTCATGGTCCCTGTTTAGTCATGTGATTCACTTGCCCTCATGTTATCCTGCTATTGGTTCTTTGGTTCATGTGTCATGTTCTTATTGGTTGTCTTAGTCATGTATCCCTGTCTCTCATTGGTTGGTTCTTGTCATGTGACCTGTATTGTTTGATTTAAATAGCCCTCATGTTGCCTGTGTCCTTTGTCAAGTATGATGTAACCTGCTGTCGGTGAGTTTGTGTTTCTGTTCATGCCAAGTCAAGTCAAGTCTTTCTTCATTTGTTTGGATGTTTTGATTTCACCTTGTTTAAATAAAGCTGCACTTCGGTTAATCACAACTTGCCATTCAGTGGACTGCTCATTAAATTGTGTTAATATACTAGAATATATTAAATAATACATAAGGAATTGCAGCTTTTCATATCTGACAATATATCTACTTACAGTTTAGGTCAAAAGTTTACATCCCCCTTTCAGAATCTGCAAAATGTTAATTATTTTACCAAAATAAGAGGGATCATACAAAAAGCATGTTATTGTTTATTTAGTACTGACCTGAATAAGATATTTCACATATAATATGTTTACATATAGTCCACAAGATAAAATAAAAGCTGAATTTATACAAAAAAATGCCCCCGTTCACAAGTTTACTTGAGTCTTAATACTGTGTTACCTGAATGATCCACAGCTGTTTTTTCTTTTTTTCTGTTTAGTGATCGTTGTTCATGAGTCCCTTGTTTGTCCTGAACAGTTAAACTGCCTGCTGTTCTTCAGAAAAATCCTTCAGGTCCCACAAATTATTTGGTTTTCCAGCATTTGTGTGTATTTGAACCCTTTCCAACAGACTATGATTTTGAGATCCATCTTTTCACACTGAGGACAACTGGGGGACTCATATGTAACTATCTCATATGTAACTACTCAGCATGTAACTATCTTCTGTAGCCTCTGAAGGGCAGTAGTAATTAAAAAAAAAAATGATGTTTAGACAAAATAAGAAAAATGTACACGTCCATTCTGGCTCTTAATGCATCGTTTTTCCTTCTGGATCATCAGTGAACGTTTTAAACTTCTGTAATAGTTGCATATGAGTCCCTCAGTTGTCCTCAGTGTGAAAAGATGGATTTTATACTATAATGTCAAGTCGTCACCTTTATTTATATAGCGCTTTTAACAATACAGATTGTGTCAAAGCAACTGTACAGCATGTCATGCATGTCACTTTTCATTCAGTATTACACCTCATAATATATATAATGTACAAACACAGTTTTAGATATATATCCCAGATTTTGAAAAGCCTGTTGACTTTTGCTGTTTATCTAAGGTGATTTTGGAAGTTTTTTTTAAACATTCGTTTCTTATTTATTTGGTTCCACATTGTTTGCTGGTTTTTACTTTATTTAAACTTTGTGTCATTTATTTATTTTATTTGACATCAATTAAGTGTATGCCGTGCCTCCAAGCTTTCTTACTTGTTTTGCTAATAAACATTCTATGTTTCTTATTTATTTGGTTATATATTATACATGTTTACTTGTTTCCAGTTATGGACCGGTTAGGTTAATATGGACATTTGGTTTTGTCGCGTCCAGAGTAGAATTATCCTTTCGCAATAAAGCAAAGTTGTTTTGCGCCGAATACTTATCATATCTCATCATACTTTATCATATTTTAGTACTTTAATTCATTTTGTAACACTCCAAAGAGAAAGGAAAAATTGAAATCAAATCATATGACCCCTTTAAAGTCTTATATATTTTATAGTTGCAGTTCTTCAAAGTACAACTGTTTATATGTAGTAGAAAGGTAAGCAAAATAAATGTAATAACTTGAAGGGGTCATATGATGCGATTTCCATTTTTCCTTTCTCTTTGGAGTGCTACAAGCTCTTGGTGCATAAAGAAGATCTGTAAAGTTGCAAAGACTAAAGTCTCAAATCCAAAGAGATATTCGTTATAAAATTTATGAGTTAACCATGCCTACCCAAAATGGCTCATTCTAACACGCCTCCACATGTCTGTCACGATGTGGGAAGATTTGCATAACACCCCCCAAATGTTAACGCAAAGAAAGAAGGCATAACTTTGATTCTTGCTGTAGTATTGTTGTTGCCATATGTTTCGTTGTGAAAGCGAAACTACATTGTTTGGCCTTCCAAAAGAGGACGATATCCACTTCGTCATGCCTAGAGCTGATCCGTGCTGGTCGCTGAGGAAATACATCAACTTCGCGCTGTGGATCGCCGGATCGGCTTTCACCATGGATGAAGCAGATTCCAGCCCGGGCTCGTCACATGTGGTTGCCGCAAGCCCGCCAGCCATTCCTTCGTCGAATCCTCCGGCCGCTGCTGACTCTAGCCCCCGGCCTCCGCTCACTGAAGCCCGCCGTGTGTTTCGTTGTGAAATCGAAACTTCTTTGTTTGGTCTTCCAAAAGAGGACACAAGTAGAAATCAGTGGTTAAGTTGTATTTACAACACTGTTCCAGTCAGAACAGTTCAACACAAATATTCGTATGTGTGCAGCGCATTTTATAGAGGACTGTTTCCTGGCAGATTAGACTACAATGCCGGCTGTTCTTACTCACAGACTGTAAGTACGTTTTTCATATTTAAAGGATTTGCCACTGATGATTCAAATGTGAGTTTTGAGCAGTGCTCGTTGTTTGTCATTTCTCCGATCACAAATGCAGACATGGTTTTATGTTTACACGGCGCGATGCAATGCAACGTGTAAAAAGACAGTATAAATCATTATAATCCGTAATTATGTCCCCACTGGATCGCTCCTACACCGCCGCTGAGCTCCAGGTTTCATCGCAGCCACTGCTCTCTACTCAACCAGCCACACGCTCTCCACGATGCCGAGGCTTAACCTCGCCTCTGCCGGTGTCACTTCCAACTTTTTCCCTGGCATCCTCTTATCTTTCGGCTGTGCCTACAATTCGGAAAGTGGACCGTCCGCACGGTCCTCGTGATGAGTAAACAAAGCAGATCTGTACTATCGAAGTTATTTGTCTCCCAGCAATCAGCCAACCTCACTCCTAAATTCAATCCAGCAGAGCTGCCAATATTTAGAGCAAAGCTTGCAAGGCCCCAAACTCTTCTCGCTCGAAACCACCATCGCCCCGCAGAAGACCTGGCTCTCCTTAAGTGATGGGTTGCAGCGGCAGGCCTTCAATGATCCTGGGCCGCTCCCAAAATCTCACCGCAGCAAAGCCTCACTTGCTTCTCGCTTCGGCTCAACCTTTCACCGCGGCTCATCCGGCCGCAGCGTCGTATGCAGCCGGGCCTCCAGCTCTTGTAGCAGACGCAAGCGTGAGGCCGCCTCCGCTAGCGGTGCAGGCTGTTTTGCAAATTAAGTTTTAGGTAAATTCGCTAAAAGGCAGGTCGTTTTGTCGCTAAAAGTTGTTAAATGACGGTGTGACAAAAGGATGTTGAGGTCATTTTGTAACCATGACGCAAAGAAATCACCCAGATTTTCTGAATAAGTTTTCGCTAGCATTTTTACCTGTATTTTAAATTACACATTTCACTCTGATAAACGGATGAAAAAGATCGATTTTCGAGAAAATGTTCAACTATGTACCTAAATGATTAACGATTATAGGCACAAACTAACAACTAAGGTTTATCATAAAAGAAACAACTGTTATTGAACAAGTGCAACTAGCAACCTAATTCACATGTGACGTGAGTATTGCTAGGCACCTCTCTCCAAGTCTCTAGCCGACGTGCCGCTTGGCTAGCTTTTCAATACTTTCTTCTTTGGCTGGTTAAGAGGAAAATGTATGTCTTTTTAACATTTAATAACTTTTTAAAGATGCTAAAAGTTGCCAAATACATTTTTAAATAGGTAAATTTGTTACTATGTGCTTTGGAACACCAGTTGCTAGGGTAGTCTGAGAAATTGCTAAATCTAACAACAAATTGCTAAATCAGCAACACTGCAGGCTACTCGGGCATTTCAGTATTTCCCTCAAATGTCACAAACCACTCCCCTTTCCCACTGCCTACAGCTAAAGCAGGCGAAGCAGGCGCGAGGCTGCCTCCGCTTGCAACCCAGGCCCACACATCTCGGTCTTTTTCCTCCTGCTACTAATAACCCCTTTTTTCCTTTTCAGTGGCCTCCAGTTCCCGTACACTAGCCTCCGCTCGCATCACAGACCAACACATGTCTTTATTTTCCTCCATTTTTTCTCTTACGCTTCTCTCAGTTTCCCACCTCAAGCCCAAGAGGTCGATATTAAGCGTGAGGCTGCCTCCCCCAACAATTGTGGCCTCTGCTCCTCTCCCTCAGCTCTTTACTTCATTTAAAATCACAATATTCTCTTTTATAGCAACATTACTGCCCATCCCACCGAATGCTGTTGCCTTGGACCCACCTCCAGTGGCTCACAACATCCGAGCACAGACCCTGGCAGGTGCGGACATAGACCCCTCATCTAAGGCAATCACTAACGATTAATTGGGTAACCGAGTTATCGGTTGATTATTCTGATGATTAATCGGATAATTATAATATATATTTATGGTAGAAAAATAGGCCTAATTAAACAATAGCCTTTAAAAATGACCTGAAATACATACATAATAGCAATGAGGCCATAATAATTGG